CTTCGTCCTCCCAGGTAGCTGCGTCTGGTCAGGTTACAGCGTCCCGTCAGGTTGCTACATCCGGTCAGGTTGCTGCGTTGTGTTCCTGTCAGTCACTCACCCACCCGACAGTCCCGTGACACCACCATCTTGGTCGCCCGTCCCTTACGCCTCCGCAGCACGGCTAGCCAGCATCTTGTCTCAGGTCTCCCGCTCATCTTTGAGTCGCTCCCTCCTTCTCTTGCACCATCGTGCACTCCTTGCGTCGAAGCTCGGCTGTGCGTCACTCCTCACTCCTCCTCCCTTCGTCGGCCACCGCACCCTTCCAGACTCTCCACTTGGACGTCTAAGGCCCCGCCCCTCGCCCTGGTCCCGAGCGAGAGAGCATATTTCTGGTGGTCGTTGATGACTACTCCCATCGCACCATGGTATTTCCTCTAGCGAAAAAGTTCGACATGACTTCTACACTGATGAAATGGTTGCTAACCACTAAGGCCACTGTTATGTGATGCTTCATTTGCATTCGCGTCTGTCTGCCTGAATATGGGGTATAGACTTTTGGGGTTGGAAAATTCGTCACCATCACGTGAGGCCAAGTGGTTGGGAGAAACCAAACCGGGTTGGCAAGTGTGGCCAAGTTGTTGAGGTGGATGGCATGGGTTGGGAAACTGACAAATGTCAAAGTTGGGGTGCCTATAGAGAGGGGAATTGTATGGTATGAGGTTTTCTTGGTTGGGGACTCCTTGAGGACCTTCCCTCTCGTCCTCCTCTTCCCTCCTTTCTGGTTTATTGCTGCTCTAATTCTCTTGTCTCGAACTTGAGTGAACTATTGTGATTGAGTTAAGTTTCTGTGGCAGCTTACCTTCTAGTGCGCCGAAATTCATAACTCGAGTTATACTCCATCTTTTGATACGATTTTAAATGGAAACTGTAGCCACGGTCCAGAGCTACAACATATCTGAAATTGCTGAAGTTTTAATTGTGGATTTTTCGTCAACGGCGTTCCTTGTGAAGTCGACGTTTTTGTTCAGAAATATAGTTCAATGATTTCGAGATATTTCGGCCCCTAATCTTCCTATACTCCGTCCTTAGTCTCTAGCAAGTGGTATCAGAGTTGATTGAGGACCTTGTGAACAGTCTACTGTGGTGTGAAGACCCTCCTAAACCCACCATGGCCTGCGGGCATGCCTAAGTGGAGTTCTAGGGGTTGGATGTGACTTCCGCTAAGGGGAAACTCTGCCGAAATATTGTTGGCGCCGACACTTGTGAAATGATTGTAGGACTTCGGTGTGGACAGCAAGGGGGGAGCTGAATCCAGTGATTGGGAGCAAAGGAGATGAGTCAAGGGAGTGGAGATGCAGCTGAGAAGAGGAATGAGCCGCCACCATCCAAAATCGAAGCATTGGATGGCTCCAAATATGATGAATGGAGCGGGCGGATGAGGAGCGCCTTCAAGCGCTACAAGCTGCTGAAAATGCGATGGGGGAAGAGAAGATGCCGGAGGAAGGAGATGCCCGCGATCGGTGGATTGACAAGAGTGCGGTGCTGTTTGACCTAATTCTTCAATCGATCAACAACGACATGTTCCAACATATAAAGGACTTGGTGGAGCTGGATGACTCCGGACCGAAGGCGTGGAAGCTACTGCGCGACGTGATTCAGCCCAAGACGCTGCCAATGGTGATTGTGTTGGAAAAGGAGCTGGCTGCCCTCTCCATGCGACCGGGCGATGATGTGAAGCCGGTCCTTGACAAGATCAAGACACCTATGCGAGGATGGCAGCGGCGGGCAGCAATGTGTCGCTGATGCAACAGTGCACCAAGATCATCTCGGTGCTTGACAACTCATGGGACAACCTCATCCCCTCACTCAACTCACTGCTGGAGGATTTCTGCAGGCGCCACACGGGAGTTGGTGCTGCCAACAACAGCTGAGGGGTATGGAGCTGCAGGAGGTAGCAGAGGAAGAGGGGGTGGGAGAGACCGAGGCCGGGGGAGAGGCTTTGGCAGAGTTAGAGGCCGAAGTGACTACAACGAAGGGCATGGGAGCTCTGGTGGCAGGGGGAGCAGGAGCACACGAAGGGAGGGTGCTTGTTAGTACTGCAAGGCTCGAAACACGTGGTTCAAGTGTTTCAGCCGGCCTGAAGGATGAGCGCCTCCAGGCATGAAGCCGTCAAGTGGTGAACGTGCACGAGGTGGTGCTATGCAAGGTTCAGGTGCACACGGTGATGGTGCACAAGGTAAAGCCGACCCTGAGATGTTCCTCATGGTTGAGGATGTGCAAGGGAGTGGGAGTGATGTGGGTTCATTTGGGAAGGTTGTGATGCACCCCCTCACTCACTGGGTGATCGATTCAGGTTGCACAGGCACATGACACCGAGGGCAGGATTGCTTGATGAGGTAAAGCCCCCTGGGAAGATTAAGTTTGTGGCTGTCGCTTCAGGTGCTTTGCTCCGTGTGATTGGTGTAGGGAATGCCAAGGTGATGGGAACCAATGGGGAGCTTGTGGGGCTCGGGAATGTGCTGTTGGTCGAGGGGCTGTCTGCTAACCTCCTTTCTTTGCGTAGGATGCAGACAAGCAAGGTTGAAGTGACCTTCGGCCCAACCAGCTGCCGTGCAAAGTTTAGGAACCTGGACGAGAAGAGCAGCTGAATCAAGGACCTGTAACAACTGCCCATCATCCCTTGAAGCGGGAAACCTCCAGCAACGGTAGCGGCAGCAATAACGGCAAAGGCAAATTCGGGAGGAGAGGAGACTGCACCAACAGATGGGGCCCTGGATGCAGTCAAGAAGGTGCAGCAGCCACAGCAATCTCATGTTGAGGTGCTTGCTGGTGTGGATGGGACAGCTGCATGGGCAAAGGCTTCGTCTGGGAGTGGTGAGTCTGACTGTGAGATGTGGCACGAGAGGTTGTGCCACATCAAACATGCCTATGCTGAAGAAAATGGTGAAGGATGGGAGCTTGAAGGGGTTGGAGGTAAAAGGGGCAGCAAAGGAGATTGGGAGCTGCCCTTCATGCCTTGAAACAAAGTTCACGAAGTTTCCCTTCAACAGCATCACAGGACCAGCCAAGGCCCCGCTCGCGCTTGTGCACATGGATATGGTGGGCCCTACGAGGGCCCCTTCTCTCTCGGGCAGCTGCTACTTCTTGACCAGTGTGGACGACCACATGCGTGCTGTGTGGGTAAACCCTCTCAAGAACAAGGGGGTAGTGGCAGCAGATGTTCATAAGGAGTGGATGCCGAGAGCACAAAGGGAGAGCGGACACAAGGTGAAAGTGATTCGCACCAACAATGAGGAAGAGTTCATTGGCGATGAATTTGAGGCGGTGCTGAAGAACAAGGGGATTCAGCATCAGCTAATAGTGCCCTACGACCCTCAGCAGAATGGCGTGGCTGAGCGGTTCAACCGGACCCTGCAGAAAGGTGCTCGCACTCTCCTTGGGCATGCAGGGCTGCCGGATCCGTTTTGGGTGACTGCACTGCGGCAGGTCACCCTTGTGAAGAACAGGGTACTGGCAACTATGGGGGACAAGCAGTGGGTCCCCTACATCAAATGGTATGGGAGTGCTCCAGCTGTGAACATGCTGAGAGCCTACGGCTGCATGGTGGTGTTTCATGTGCCTAAGGAGAAGAGGGGATAGCTGGAAGCTTCTAGAAGATGGGGTGTGCACTTAGGGATTGCAAAGGACCGCAAGGGCTGGCTGCTATGGGACTTGACCAGCCAGAAGCTGATTGTTTCGAAGGATGTCAAGTTCCTCGAGTCACTGTACTACAAGGAGTGGAAGCAGCAGCAGCAGAAGCTTCTACTACACCGCTGATCATTTAGGCCGATGAGGTGCGGCGGCCCTTGAGGCAGGTGGAGGTCTCTCTGTCGGAGGTGGAGATCTTTGGGGTGACTGAGGATGGGGGAGAACCTGAGGTGGGGGAGCAGCAGCAGCAGCAGCAGCAAAAATGTGCTCCACCACGAGACCCACGTCCGCCTGACCATCCTAGGGAGGATGTGCGCCCTCCTACTAGGCTGGCCTATCCGAGTAGTGGCACGCCAAAGGTGGTACGGGCTAGGAGTGTGGCTGAGCAGGGTGATGAGGATGAGATAGCACACTGCTATTGGGCAGATGCTAGCTGAGGCACTGAGCGGGCCCGATGTTGATAACTGGAACCAGAGTGTGAAGGAGGAGTATGACTCTCTGCTAGAAAAAGAGACTTGGGAGTTGTGTGAGCTGCCTCTTGGGAAGAAGGCAATCTCTTCGAAGCTGATCGTCAGGCACAAGTATAGATCTGATAGGGAGCTGACCCGCTACAAGTCAAGGCTTGTCGCTAAAGGGTTTTGGCAGACAAAGGGAAAGGACTTCGACAAGATCTTTGCTCCTGTGGGGAAAGGGACGACACTGAGGGTGTCGTTGGCAACGGCTGCAAACCGTGGATGGAGGATCAAGCAGATGGACATCACTACTGCATTCCTCAATGGGATCATTCTGGAGGAGCTGTACATGCAGCAGCCTGAGGGGTTGGATGATGGGAGCGGCCGGGTGTGCAGGCTCAAGAAGGCCATCTATGGCCTGAAGTAGGCTCCTCGTGAATGGTACCACAAGCTGGAGGAGACAATGCTGGCTGGGGGTTTGAAGAAGAGCGAGTGTGATCAAAGCCTGTTCCTGCTGCAAGAAAAGGAGCAGTTCCTCATGCTCCTGGTGTATGTGGACGACATCCTTCTTTTCTCTGAGTCGTCTGCTATGATTGAGCGTGCGGAGGAGATGCTGGAGATGCAGTTCAAGTGCTCGAAGATGGAAGATGTGAAATACTACCTTTGGATGCATGTGGAGAGGGACCTTGACAAGGGAGTGTTGATGTTGCACCTGAGGAAGTACTGTGAGGGGCTGGCGGAGAAGTATGGGCTGCAAGATGGAGGAAAACCAGCGACCCCAACGCCTTCGGGGTTCACTGTGGAGCCCTGTGCTGATGAGGAGGTGGTGGGTGAGAGCGGCAGGAAGCTTTTTCATTCCATGGTTGGGGGCACTCAACTATGCATCCTCCCTTCCACCTGCATCCCCTGTCATCCTCCCTTCCACCTGCGTCCCCCGTCATCCTCCCTTCCACCTGCGTCCCCCGTCATCCTCCCTTCCACCTGCGTCCCCCGTCATCCTCCCTTCCACCTGCCACCTCTGTCATCCTCCCTTCCACCTGCCACCCCTGTCATCCTCCCTTCCCCCTGTCACCCCTGTCATCCTCCCCAACCCCTGTCGTCCTCCCTTCCCCCCTGCAGCCCCTGTCGTCCTCCCTCCCCCCTGCCGTCCTCCCTCCCCCCTGCCGCCCCTGTCGTCCTCCCTCCCCCATGCCGCCCCTGTCGTCCTCCCTCCCCGCTGCCGCCCCTGTCGTCCTCCCTCCCCCCTGCCGCCCCTGTCGTCCTCCCTCCCCCATGCCGCCCCTGTCGTCCTCCCTCCCCCCTGCCGCCTCTGTCGTCCTCCCTCCCCCCTACCGCCCCTGTCGTCCTCCCTCCCCCCTGCCACCCCTGTCGTCCTCCCTCCCCCCTGCCGCCCCTGTCGTCCTCCCTGAAAATCGCCAAATGGAGGGAAATGGTTTAAATTTCATAGAAATAGTCGCGGAGCTACGCGCCGACAGGAGCAAACATGTGTGGTGCTCCTAAGACTCGAAAAACTCCTTGCGAACCAATCGGCAGCCGCAGCAGCAACAGTAGCGATGGCGGCGACATCGACAATTGTACCTACGACAACGGCAACCGCTACAGGCAACCTTGAAGAAGTGAAGTCGCGGCTACCGGAGGCGTTCAATCCTATAGTGGAAGGGAGCGACGTCGGTACATTCGTAGCTGAACTCGAGATTTGCTTCGAAGTCGTTGGATGCACGAATCCCACCCGAGTCGCGATGCGCATACGGCTCGCAGAAACACTGTTACGAGGCTTATATCTAGGGTGGATTAACATCAAAATTGAGTTGAACAGTAGCTACTATGGAACACGACGCAACTAGCCAAATAGTGGCATGGAGTGATCGGCATCACCCACGACTACCGACCCAACGGAGAACGACAAGGGCTATGCGAAGTAGCGGCTAGCAAAAAATGAGACGTGCGAATTTTGCTGCGCTACAATATATCAGATCTTGGCGTAATGGAAAATGTTGAAATCACGTACGGAGCTGCAGGGCAAGAACAGTGCAGCACCCCCGAAGCAGAAAACGGACAACGTGGCAACTTCGGAGATGGCGAAACAAGGAGAACATGATGGCGCGAATTTAAAACGTCACGACCAGCCGGCATTAGGGGAAATAGTCGAGACAAAAGAAGACTCCGCGAAACAAGACCCTGCACTGACCGGGAAACTCCAGCCGTACAACAAGACGAGTAAGAATTTGTTAAAGTTATCTTATAAAGATACTTTAGCTAAGAATATTACTTCTCGTGGATTTCAAGCCTTTATTTAGGGAGAGTCAGAAATTATACCGGTACTGGGTAAAATGGGGACTCCACTCTGGAGCGTTGATAAGGGTTGAGCATTTCGAGGAGTTAATATTCTCTCCCAGCAGCACTGTGTTAAGGCTCCCCCCCGTTCCCCACAGGTGAAGCCTACACAGCTGCAAAGGCTTAGGGGAAGGTTCCAGGCCCAGACGAAGCTGAATCGACCTCGGATAAAACCTTCAAACCGTACTCAGAAGAAAACTGATGTTGAGTCGGCAGCTTCGAGCGTAGGACCTAGGGACGATACATTCAATGTATGCTATGATCCAATAAGCGAGACCATCTTCGGCTACTCGGAGCGTCAACAACCACTACTGCTTGAGGTTCTCTGCAATGGGCGACGCCTCAAGGCTCAGTGTGCGTCCCATTCAGTGTGCGATGGCGGGACATTGGAGAAAATTGGGGAGTCCTTGGAGGAGACCCGGTTTACAGCAACGATGGTGGACGGTACGAATCGCATCCACGGCGAGTCGACACTGTAGCTGCAGATAGGGGCGTTGAGGTGGAAGCCAACGTTGCCGATCACGAACATCAAAGGGTTAAGTTTCATCTTGGGGCGTGACTTTCTGAAGTGGTTCAACCCCGAGATCGACTGGGTCAACCGGAAGGCGAGTATCTACAACAACGGGAAACGTATGGAGTTGCGAAGCTGGACGGATACAGGGGATGTTCCTGAAATGACACTTGCATGGTTCGAACGGATGGTGAACGAGAGTAACACGTGTAACTTAGCAATGGTGATGGCACCATTAGAGGAGGAGAAACCAAACTCGGAGCCACCTGCAGCAGTACAAGAGGTGTTAACAGAATACAAGGACATCATGCCGGATGACGTGCACCATACCGCCTTAGTCCGACCGAACCGACAGACATGAAGAAACAGATTGAATACCTACTGGATAGTCAACTGATCCGCCCATCCACCTCTCCCTATGGCGCACCAGTCTTCTTCACTCCAAAGCAGGACGGTAGTTTATGGAAGTGCATCGAATACCGGGCACTAAATAAACGGACAGTCAAGATCAAATACCCCATACCGCGCATAGACGATCTTCTAGACCAATTGCGTGGTGCAACGGTGTTTTCAAAGCTGGACCTACGGTCGGGTTATTGGCAGATCAAGATGGTAGACAACTCGACCCACGAGACGGCGTTCCGTACCAGATACGGCTCCTACGAATACTTAGTGATGTCGTGTGGACCCTGCAACGCACCAGCGACATTCCAGGCGCAGATGAATCACATCCTATGGCCCTTGCTGGACGAGTGCGTAGTAGTGTACCTGGACGACATTCTCATTCACTCCAAGAACATGAAGGAACACGTGGAGCATTTGCGGAAAGTCTTCGAAATCCTGCGGGAGAACAAGTTCTCGGGAAGCTGTCAAAGAGCGACTTCGACCTGCCGAAGGTGCAGTTTCTCGGGCACATGGTGAGTGCGGAGGGCATACACGTGGACCCGCGGAAGATCGAAGCCGTCAAGAAGTGGAAAGTTTTTGAGAACGTGAAGGAGTTGCAGCAATTCCTAGGCTTCGCCAACTACTACAACATGTTCGTAGCAATAGTACGCTAAGATCGCAGCGCCACTGACGAACTTACTGAAAATGGATACGCCCTATAAATGGGATACACCTCAGCAGCAAGCCATGGAGCAGCTACAAACAGCACTGACTACTGCCCCAGTACTCATCCTACTAGATCCAGACAGAGACTATGTGGTGGAAGCAGACGCTAGTGACCAGGCAATCAGAGCAGTATAGATGCAGGATCACAGACGCGGTTTGCAGCCCATCGCCTACCTCAGTAAGAATCTACACGGAGCAGAACTGAACTACCCATTTCATGACAAGGAAGCCTTAGCGATAGTTATAGCCTTCAAGGCGTGGAGGTGTTATCTAGAGGGAGCCAAGACTACAGTCTACACTGACCACTGCAGTCTCAAATACCTAAAGTCGCAGCCTACGCTCTCACGACGAGAGGTGCAGTGGATGGACTTCCTGGAAACCCACTTCCACTACGACATCGTCTACAAGCCAGGGCTACACAACAAAGCAGACGCATTGAGCTGCCCAGGGCATGTAGCAGGCATCCAGCTTGACGAGATGAACCCTTTGCTCAAGGGTCTATTCCAACATGGGTACTCCGTGGGCGCAGAGATCGCTACAGCGCAGAAACATAACCTGTTATAGCGAAGTATTACTACTGGCCCCGAATGGCAGCAGACGTGCAGCAGTTCGTCACCTCATGCGACACGTGCCAGCGGATGCAGATTAGCAAGCAGAAAAAAGCAGGGTTACTTCAGCCTCTACCCGTACTGGAGCAGCCATGGCAAATTGTTAGCCTCGACTTCATCACTGGGCTTCCTTTGACCTCATGAGGGCACGATGCTATACACGTGATGATAAAAAAGTTCTCTAAAATTGGACACTTCATTCCGACCAACGCCACGGATACTTCTGAAGCAAATGCTCGTCTCTTCTTCGACCATATCATGACCATCCACGGCATCCCCGCTACACTCATCTCGGACAGAGACCCAAAATTTACTAGTAAGTTCTGGAGGGAACGCCTTGGTTTATTGGGGACAAAGCTTGCAATGTTTTCAGCCTACCACCCCCAGACTGACGGACAGACCGAGCGACTCAATCAGGCGGTTGACCTGATCAGGCGCTTGCAAAGACGACATTGGCCATTGGGATCTACAGTTACCGACACTTGAGTTCGCTTACAACAACGCGTCACACGCGGCCACAGAGAAAACTCCTTTCTTCCTGTGCTACGGACGGGAACCACTTACACCATAGCAGCCGACCACACCGGCACACGTCCAAGCCGCACACGACTTCGTCACCACCATGCAGCAGTTATGGGAGAAGACTCAGCGACGTCTCACCACAATGCAGAATTCCCAGAAGCAGTATGCCAATTGACAGAGACGATATCATTCAGTAGCAGTCGGACATCAGGTGCTTCTCGACACACGCAACTTCCACTTGTCCCACCTTCCATCTAAGCTCCGGCCTCGCTTCTGTGGTCCATTTTGCGTTGAGGCGATGGTGACACCAATAACATTCCGCTTGCGCTTACCTACCATGTGGAAGCTTCACAATGCTTTCCATATTCAGCTACTGAAGCCCTACAAAGACCCCCGACCAACAGTTCACGGGACGAGGTGGAATGAGTTTTCGCTCATCGGCGCAGATGCAGCAATACACTCAAATTCCTGATTCGCTGGAAGGGATATGACTCGTCGGAGGACAGTTCGGATGCAGAAGCTGATATGGGGACCGCATGCCGTGCTCTCAAAGATTATCTTGTCAAGGAGGGTGCTTCTCACGCCACCCAACTTTGAAGTGGAGACATCTGAGAGCACGACAGCTTTGCTTAACTTAATAGCTTGATTCTGCTTTATTATGCATTATCTAGCTTAGCATTATTTTATCTTGCATGCCTTTGCTTGATTTCCTAGTTTCGTTGTTGAACTATAGTTATTATAGTTATAGGCACTGAAATAGGTTGAGTGCACGAATTCTAGGCTTTTGGTTGCCACCGAATTGCCTTCTACCGAATTGGGGTAGGACCCGTTCGGGACGCTTCGCGACCCCCGGAACCTTCTAGTAACAGCTGGTTGGCTTCCTTTGTGTGGAGCCTATATATAGCCTCGTCTTTTACCATAGTGATCATATTATAATTTCTGAACTAGTTCCTTCGATCCTCACAAGATGCAGGAGGAACTAGACGGGGTGAGGAGAGATTGGAGCATTGTGGTGAAGGATATCTTAGAACGAGGAAAAACAGCAGCACCGGTGAAGAAGGGCAGACACGAGACCCAGTGTCCCTGCAATTAGGTGGGGGCAGAGCGCAGAGCATGGCCGACGCTGGTGGCATATGAGAAAGGGACAGGATTCAAGATGGAAGAGGGCGAGCCAGGGGAAGGAATTGTGTATGATCATACGAAGAGATGCTGGGAGGAGCCGACAGCTCTAGAGCGAGAAATGGCGATGGGGTATGGCGAGAACGTGACAAAGGGAGACGAAGTCACACAGTAAGACAGGCGAAGAGTGTTAGGGCAGGCGATG